TTTGAGGGTCGGCATTGGGATTCCCTTTACTGCTTTTATACAATCTGAGAGCAAAAAATGGAGCTACACACGTCGACTCTTAGTTATGCCTCAATATCTTATACTCTAGAAGTGTCTAAATGTTATTATTTTCATTCATACTCTAAACATTGTACCAACTTTTGAAGTTATATTTTATAAACTACAGAGTATACACATAAATGTGATAAGACACATTAGTGGACACAAATTAATTTGCAAGTAATGTGTTATTTTTAGCTTGTTTAGATTCAGAGCTAATTTCATTACCCAAAAATATCCTTCAACATCTCAAACTAAATTGAAAATAATTTCAGCAAAATATTGTTCTTCTTTGAATAATATATTATTTTCATAATGACTCTTACTAGAACCATATGAAAAAAATGACATATGAAAAATACATATAGGAATATATATGTGCCTGATCTTGTTTACCTAACTTGAGAATAAATTTGACGTTTGTATATGCATCAAACAAAAATTAAAATTAGTTTACTCACAAAATAAGTAATAATGAAGTAAAAAAGTTTATCATAAATGCATCTTAAGTTTATGAATAAAATTAAATAAAAATTTTTAATTCACTTAACAGGTGATCTTTGCAATTTTGATCGGTGTTTTCAAATGCCTTTTGTTTCTTTGTAGTGTTAAGTTAGCAGCAATTAATGCTATAAATTTGGATAAAATAGGAACAGATTCTGTGAGGAGAAACCAATATTTTATTAAACTAATTAAGTGAACACATTTTGACCCAGGCTAATATCGATATGTTTTTGAAATTGTTAAAAAATAATTATAAATAATTCACGGTTTGAGGAATTTTTTTTAGAAATGTCAGAGGGTCGCCATTTGTGGCTTATTAACTTGTATGGCACCATTGTAACTCTTGTAAACTTGATCGTTAATCAATAAAGTGCAGCATTTTAACCCTAAAAAATTAAGATTTATTTATTTAACATACTTTTAGCATATATTATTGAAAAATAGTTCACATATACATATATATATTGTTAAATAAATATATTTCATATATTTGGATCGCTGGTTTGAACCATCCCAGACACGGTGTATTAGTTACCGACGCAATATAGAGGAACGAGGCCACATGACAGACTAGCAACACACTAGATCGAAGCATCGATATTGAACTAACACCGGCGGTCATGGTGGTACCTCGACGGAGGGGATGTCTGCGACGTGACAGAAGGAGGGGCGGCGGCGTCTGAATGGATGGATGCAGGAACCGCCGTGAGAGGACAACTGAGAGTCGAGTGGTCTTGCAAAGAAGGCAGGGTGTGTAGGTTAGAAGACTCGGTAGTGAAGTTGTAATCCGGCCTACTTCATGGCGCGACAGGTTGGGGTCCGTCCGTCGGGACAGTGGGAGGAGGTGAAGAAGAGCTAATGTTGATAGGCCGAAACAATTTGTGGGATCATGCATCTTCATTCAGGGATATTAAGTGGTAGTTACATGATCATGTGGCATTCTCAGCGAGGCATGACGGTTGAAACCTAATGACAGAGAGAGTTTTGCTAACCTATCAGCTTCAGAGTTGTGGCTGCTACCTTCATGAGTATATTGGCACACCTCAAAATCATCAATACGTTGGGAAATCTCTAGAACAATAGCATTGTAGTGGACTCCTGCCCCTATCTTGGATGTCTTTTATTGCTTCCAAACAGTTTGACACGATGAATACCTTGCGCAACATAAATCATCAGCCAAGGCCAAAGCTTCTCGACACGCCGAGGCTTCCAGAACTATAGGATAGGTGATGTTCTTGAATGTGATTGAGGACGAGCTGAGGAACTTGCCCTGATTGGTGTGGCGCATTACTCCCACCACTCAATGGTCACCATTGCTAGACTCCGCACTGTCAACATTAATCTTTGCAAAACCATCTAGAGGCGCTTTTCCAAACAACATGTGATTGATTCTGAGCTCTAGGCCATTTCGAGGGTGATTTGTTCTGTTGGCTGCTCTAAATGTCACATATGAAGTTTTTGACTAAAATGTGTGCTCAAAGAGGCAGTTGGAACTCTCCTTCATGAATTTCTTTGTGCTATTAATAGAATCATAATGTAACAACTTCTCCATCATCATAAACTGCCAATGTCTGGCGTGTGGTTCTCTCATCTCAATCATGCGTTCTACTACTTCACAAACATCCAATATCTCATGTGTCACTACCATATAAAAGAATTTTTGCGGTATCATATTGACTCAGTCATTTCGAAACCAGGAAGAGAACAGTGGCGACTCTCATGTTTTTATGGGGAAGCTAATAGGAGCCTAAGGTACAAGACTTGGACGCCATTAAACATCCGCGAAGTGAGAACACATTACCTTGGGGTGTGCACTGGTAACTTTAATGAAGTCCTTTGACAGGAGAAGCAGTGGGCCCTAATATCCAGGAGGTAGAGTTTTCCACTTCATAGCGGCCAAACCTGGGTAAAATCATCGTGACACGTCGGTGGGGTTCGTTCGTCTCTTCGCCGCTCACCAAACAAAATAAGAGGATCACCCAAAGTTCCTTGGGGTTGTGCAGCAAGCCACGACACATGTGTTGTTTTAATGAAGTTGTCACACTATTTTAGTCTTCAACCATGAAATATTTTGCATGGTTATTTGATAGATGTCTGAAGATTTTTTTTGTCTTAAAGTATGGCATTTTGTGTTCATTCTCCTTGGCAGTTCCTGTAGTCACTATCCTCCTTTGATAGTTTCAGATCCCAGGTGATTCGTGGTTATGCATTGTGCTACTTTTGTCATAGTGTATGGAAACAACTCAAATGTAGGAAGTCCATGGTCAGTACTAGGGCACATGGCAATTATATAGCTAGATAAATGTAAAGCATGTGACAAAATATGAACCATATCTACCTATATGTCAAGGTTCTCCAATTCATAAGAATGACAATTTGTTCATTCTAACGTTTCCCATGGCATTTTTTATAATGTGTTCCATGGCAATTTCTTCTGTTTTTCAAAACCGTGTCCCATGGCATTTTAATGTGTGTCCCCATGGAAAAATATATTTGTAGGAACATTTTTTTAGACAACATAGCAATTGCATTGTATATACCATGACACTTCCTTTTTCTTGATAGAGAACATGTGCCCATAGAAACTTTTGCCATCTTTTCTGAAAAAAGCAAATCCCCTAATTCTACTTGGGTGTCCATTACATTTCTGTTTTGCAAATGTTACCTTGTGTTCACTTGACAACAAGTTCCTAAACTTCTCAAGCATTTTTATCATAGGTAACATGACATCATTATCATTCGGACCATGGAAAATTTATTTAGATCATGGTAGTTTTATCATATGCAACATGTCAATATTATCTATTTCGGAACATGACATTTTTTTTATCATATGTAGCATGGCATTTTTGTTAATTATACAATGGCATTTTTCTTATCATTTGTGGCATGTCATTTTTATTAATTAGACAATGAAACTTTTATCATGGGTAATATGGCATTTTTATTAGTCCATGGCATTTTTATTAAAGACATTTTTAATAACTAGACCATGGAATATTTTTCATTCTTAGAATGGCATTTTTTATTTTATTAGACCATGGAATTTTTTTAAATAGACCATGGAAATTTTAATAATTACACCCTGGCATTTTATCATTTTGTAGCTTGGCATTTTATTTTATTTTAATTATACCTTGGCATTTTTATCAATTTGTAGCATGCCACTTTTATCATTCGTAGCATGGCATTTCTTGTATCTTAATTAGACCATGGTTTTTTTTGTAGCATGACATTTTTATTAGACCATGGCATTTTTATCATTTTTTAGCTTGACGTATTTTAACTTTTATTATAACATGGCATTTTTATCATTTTGTAGCAAGTCATTTTTATTAGACCATGGCATTTTTAATAATTACACCCTGGAATTTTTATCTTTTGTGGCATGCCGTGTTTTTAATTAGACCGTGGCATTTTAATAATTACACCCTGGATTTTTTATCTTTTGTGGCATGGCATTTTTTAATTAGACCATGGCATTTTAATCATTTTGTAGCATGGCATTTATTTTGCCTCCAGTACATCATGCCAATTCAAATTCCACACTCCCACATCAGGTTAAGCTAACTAATGCTAGGAATCAATAGTACGGCTCGCTTAACGGAGTAGTTGCACATGGTGTAACTCGGCGTGGGTGGTTGCTTGCGTACAGGCTAAGCTTTGGAATCCACCTAGTAATTAACGTGATCTCCCCGTCCATAGAAAGCATACATAAAATCACGGCGACCTCGAATGCTGTAATTAATCAGACAAGGGCAGACTGTCCCCCGTCCTCTCTGGACCAATATATAGATGAATAAAGAGTATATGTGGATATTCTGTGTGCGTGCCCATTATCTGGCCTATAATCATCATTGCATGATTATACATACGATTATGTCCATTGCACACACGAACTTATCTATCTACTGCTAATTCAGATATGTAAAGATAAAATGACGAATGAAGCTGAATGGAATTTGTGCTAGACATGAACGGCTAGCAAATTGCCAACCTTCAGATACGATGATTTGTGGCTCTCTAAACTTTTACCACTGCTAATTCAGATCCCATGTCACCCAGATGGAACCTAAACCTAGAGGGCATCCATTCATTCACTTGGAAAACACAGAACCCAAATGGAATCAGTACAAAGCTACAAACATATTTCAAAACAAGCACCAGTAGGCCAAACATATTCCTGCCGTCTCTTTCACTTCTCTCTCCCTCTGAAATGAAGTCTTTAAAGGAGAGAGAACCAACCAAGGCCAGGGGACAAACACAGGGCCGAGAGGCCGATCTGTCAACTGCCTCAGTGGAGCCTCTCTTCTCTTCTCTTTCGCCAGAGAAATCATGGGGACCAAAGCGGAGGCACACGGTGCTCTTGTTTGCGTCGCGCCAGTGGTGAAGTGGAGGTTCCTCGGCATGTGCTTGCTGCTCGTAGCGGCCGCGGGGCTCGCCGAGGGAGAAGGCAAGGGGGAGAAGCAGGGTGTTCGCCTGCTGGACGCGGGGAGGCTGGAGAAGTTCGTGGACGAGCTGCTGGACATGCCCGTGCTGCGCGGTTACGGCGTGGCGGAGCTCGGCAGGCTCGTCGCCGGAGAGCTCGCCGTCGGCATGTACGACACCATGTGGGTATGTGCACACGAACCGCATATTCTTGGCCTTTTCTTTTTCCTTGCATGCCTCCTTTCTGTTGGAATCTGCTGTGTCCGACGACGGCGCACGCGTGGTGATGCCGTGTGCTGGTTGAAGTGACTGTCCATTGTTCTTGCTCAGTAGTCTTTTCTTCAGATATCTCAAGGTTTCCATTTATAGAAAAGAAGTTTCCATTCTTCGTATATTTTCTTAAGGTTGGTCACGCTAAGAGTATCGTATATATCATACATGCCAACTAAGCAATTTTAATGGGTTGACATATAATTAAATAAAGAGTATGATATTATATTATATTAAATATTAAGTGATGTGTATGTGCCATGCATGGCAATAAATTAGGTCATGTATGATACTATGCACTATGAAGATAGTATTAGTCTGTCCGCAACGGAGAGTATCATAAACTGCAACATATGAGAGTAGTGTGTAATACTACTTCCTGGTGCATAGGATCGTAAGTTAGTATCTTGATTGTCGTATTTATTATCATGTATGGCGCAATGTAGTATAATTTGTATCATGCATGATACTACTTATGATAATTTCATTGCGGGCAACCAATAATACTTGAGTATCATATACTAGCATATGATACTCTTCATTGCAACCACTCTAAATTGCTCAAATAAAAAAGTAAAAATACATTTCTTTAATGCAGATACTGTCATGCTTACGTTCATGATTTAAATGGGATTAACCAGAACTTCTTGGAAACCAAATTAATTAGGACATGCAAAAAAAAATTCAAAAGATTGTGCGCTGAATCATTCATGAATTCTGAAATCCCGGCAACAACTCTGCCCACTAATTTCAGAGATGTTGCTGCCAGAATAACAAAGGAACAAAACGATGTCTTTTCTCGGTTGGTGTACCTCAAATTTTCAGGCTAGATTCAAGAAAAAATAAATCAAACCGGCTTTAAATTAGCTTAAAATTCATTAAAACGAAGCTGCTTTTGGTGGGTCGAAATCCGAAAGTCACGCTCGTCCAAAAAGAGCAGTCTGGCTGAAATTCCTGTGAGATACGATTTGCCTTGTTTGTTGCCAAGATCTAAGCGTTGTAGTTGAATTTTGAACTTCAACAGTAGTAAATTAATATGAATTCTGAATTGCATTTTTTTTCTGTTATGTGGATAGAAATTCCACCGTGACCTTCCTCCGACGCGGGTCTTCGCCTACGGCGCCAGCAGGGAGACGGCCACCGTGCCGGGGCCGACCATCATGGCGATGAAGGGGGTGCCCACGCGCGTGACATGGACCAACCACCTCCCGCCGCACCACATCCTTCCATGGGACCGATCGCTCGCTGCCGCGGGGCTCGGCAACGGCACCGGCGTCCCCACCGTCACCCACCTTCACGGCGGCGTGCAGCAGTCCACCTCCGATGGCAACTCCATGGCCTGGTTCACCTCTGGCTTCGCCGCCACGGGCCCCCACTTCTCCTCGCCGGCGTACGAGTACCCAAACCAGCAGCCTCCGGGGAACCTCTGGTACCATGACCACGCCATGGGCCTCACTCGCGTCAACATCCTCGCCGGTCTCCTCGGCGCGTACAGGGTGTCCGACCCGGCCGCGGAGGCGCCCCTCGGCCTCCCCTCCGGCGCGGAGTTCGACAGGAACCTCGTCCTGTTCGACCGTGACTTCAGGAGCGACGGCTCGCTCTTCATGAACGCCACGGGGAACAACCCCAAGGTGCACCCGCAGTGGCAGCCGGAGTACTTCGGCGCCGTTATCGTCACCAATGGCAAGGCCTGGCCTTTCCTCCGCGTGCGGCGCCGGCGGTATCGCTTCCGCATCCTCAACGCCAGCAACGCGCGCTTCTTCCGCCTCTCGCTCTCCGGTGGCCTCCGCTTCGTCCACGTCGGCTCTGACTCCGTGTACCTCGCCCGGCCGGTGCCCACGAAGCAGTTCCTGCTGGCGCCGTCCGAGATCGCGGACGTCGCCGTCGACTTCGCCGGCGCCAAGGACGACGCGGTGACCCTGCGGTCCAACGCGCCGACGCCATACCCTGGCGACCATGACGAGAAGGTTGAGACGGTGGCGGTGATGAAGTTCCTGGTTGCGAGGAAGCCCGAGCACGACCCGTCTACCATGCCGGCGGCGCTGATGCCGTGGTACCCGAAGCCGGACGCGCGGGAGGCGGTGGTGACCCGGCACATCGCCATGTACAAGTACGCCAAGAAGGGCACGGACGAGCCGACGCACATGTACCTGAACGGCGTGCCTTACACGGATCCGGTGACAGAGACGCCGCGAGAGGGCACGTCGGAGCTGTGGGAGGTGATCAACCTCACCGACGACGACAACCACCCGCTGCACGTGCACCTGGCGGTCTTCGCCGTGCTGAAGCAGAGGTCGCTCCAGCGCGTCGACGAGTTCAGGGACTGCATGCAGGGGAGCGCGAGCAGCGGCGCCGGCGGCCGGAACGACGCCCTCGCGTGCGGGATGCAGCGGCACCTCGCCGGAGGCCGCACGCACGCCGTGCCGCGGCAGGAGCGCGGGTGGAAGAATGTGTTCAAGGTGCGGCCCAGCACGGTGGCCACGCTGCTGGTGCGGTTCATGCCGCTGGAGGAGCCGTCGGGGAAGAGGGGTCGCTTCCCCTTCGACGTCACCGTCGGCCCCGGCTACGTTTACCACTGCCATGTAAGCATCAAGCAGCAGAAAAACATTTCCTGCATCGATTTAGTTTGTAAAGAATTTGTGTTTATTGACGTTTGTTCTTATTTGGAACGCAGATTTTGGATCATGAAGACAACGAGATGATGAGGCCGATGAAGATTGTTCGCTAGCTGCATCAAAGGATCTGAAGGAATTCTCTTCAGCAACCTTCAAGGCTTCAAGCACGTTCATGGGCACCTTGATAACTTAGCTAAGTCTTGTATGAACTGGGTTAGTCTTTGTAGTTTTTATTCTGCCCCGGATTGTATCTGGAAGGCTCTGTGTAACTTTGCTGCTTAATAATAACGTGCCTACTTAAAAAAAAAGAAAGATATGAAGGCTACGAAAATTCGAAGGAGTGCACGTCCTCACCTGCTAATGGTATCCTACACCGTACACGCCACCAATATCTGACACGCCAAACGCTCGTGGGACATAGTACGCTGCTGTAATGCATTTATTGGCCCATCAAGTGTTGTAACGTCATCAGGTTGCTAGTAAGAATGGCAATTTTACCCATGGGTACGGGTACCTGCGGGTACGGTATCCGCATGGGCAGGGTACGGGCACAATTTTATACCCATCGGTAATATCCATACCCTATCCGTTAAATCATGGGTAGGGTACGGATATAACCTTATACACGCGGATATACCCATACCCTGCCCGTTTGTAAACTAATGTTAAGTTGTTGTCAATTAATCATTAATTTGTCATGTGGCTTGTCTACTCCTAATGACTTATGAGTATGTTGTACTCATCCACCAGTTATTGAGTTGAGATAATTGTTTTTTTGTCAAATGTGCTATCAATGGGCGTAAAAATGTGAACAACTCATGTGCTATTTGTTCTACCCGCTGGGTACCCAATGGGTACGGGTACCCGTCGGGTATGGTATGGGTAAAGATTCATGTCCATGGGTACGTGTATGGGTAAAATTTTATACCCACCGACTATACGGGTATGGGTATGGTATTGCTCTACCCTGCCCATACCGTACCCATGCCACCCTTAGTTGCTAGAGAACTTCACGTCCAGCTCCGTCATGTGGCCGCGGCCAAGTCATAGCCTCAGAAGAGTGTAGCTATGTACTTCCACGGTATGGGAACACTTTTTCTACAAGAATATTCATGTATAATAGAAAAAAAGGTCCTTATACACATGTTCATAATATTAGTCGTGTATTGGAAAATTCATCAAATATTTTGTTTTTTTAAAACGAGGTTTCTTAGGGTTCGATTCGTCAAAAAGTAGAAGAGAGTTGCCTGATTAATTAACGAAAACCCGGGTGAAAACCGTTACAACAAGCCAACAGCATGGCGCTATCAACACACGCCGACCCCAAGGCCACACACCAGGCGAACCGCTGACTTCGTCACTCTAGCAACCCTTAGCCAACACCCTAAAACAAAAACTAAAGCCGCTGCTCCGACATTCAAGCCGACCCGAGGCCGTGCACCAGGCGAGCCACCTACTCTGCCGCCCGAGAAACCGGAGCTGACACCCGACAACCATCTCTGGAGTCCCCGCTCCGACGTACACATGGAAACCCCACACACTGACCCCGAGGCCCCACACCAGGCGAGCCACCAGCTTCATCACCCGAGCAACCGCAGTCGACACTCGAGGCTGCTCTGCTCGCACACGCCAACTCTACCTAGGGGACCAGAGCCACCTCACCAGACCCACGCACCCAGCCGCGCCACCCGGCCAGCAGAGCAACAGGAGAGTGTCCTCGCAAAAAAAATCCTCACGAAAAAAAAGAGCAACAGGAGAGCGCCCAGCCCCTTGCGCGCATGCGCCTCCCAGCACACACTCCCACGCCGCACCGTCCACCATTTGACCCCCAACCACGCTGCCCGGAGCTCGCAGCTCAACCAAGGAACCGTTGCGGACGCTGCATGCAGTAGCTCATCTCGCACCGCTCCCGCTTAGGTGAAGCCACGCCGGATCCGACCTAGGATGACCAGATCCGGCCGCCATGCATCTCCGCCGTCCCTCAGCAGCGGGATGTTCATCGTGTACTTGAAAATATATTCATCATATATTTTAAAAATATTCATCGTATATTATTATTGTTTCATTTGTTTCCCAAAATAACATCGTGTTTTAGAAAGTATTAGTTGCACTACAAACTTAATCATTGAGCAATTAAAAATATTATATTTATAAAAAATCATGTAAATATAAAAGTGTTTTCATGTTTTAAAAAATGAACATTTCATTAAAAATGACGAATCTTTTTTAATCTTGATGTGATTTTCTAAAAATACCATTAACATTTTTGTAGTGTTCCCATATTTTAAAAACACGATAATCATGATGTGAAAATAAAAGTATTCTCATATTTTTTAAATGTGGTACTTTTTTTAAAACATGATGATTTTTCGTAATCATGGTGCTCTTTTCTGAAAACACGATAAACATTGTTCCAGAAAAGTGTTACTGCCATTTTATGGTGTTCCCATATTTTAAAAACGCACTAATCATGATGTTAAAATAGACTTGTTCCCACATTTAAAAATAAAATTAGTTTTGTAAACAAGTTAGAATATTTCCTGTAATGTGATGAACATTTTTCTAATAGATCGTAAATTGCTTTAGAAAATATATATTGAACAAAAAATGCATGACGAACCTTTTTGATTTCATGATGGCCATTTTTTAATACATGATGAAACTTGCGTTCAAGTACACGATGGTCATTCTTTTTAAAAGTTCATGATGACTATAAAATATGCTGCGATCATTTTCTTAACATGACGAACAATTATCCAAAAACCGTGAACATTTTTGAAACATGACGACCAAAAGTTGACCTGACACTGCACCTCGGTTCCTACTCACTAGCTAGCATTTTGGCTGACTGCCAGGAGCTCTTTCGTGGTTTTGTTGAATAAAGCTCTCCAAGTTTGACAAAAAAAAATCACCACAAGAAGGGCATCCATATGATGGGTTCCTTCAAGCCCATTTTTATTTCCAAAATTGTACTTTCACATATCAATTTTTTTTTAGATTCACATCTCAAAATTCTGAAAAAGTACACAATACATATAGATGTATACCATCAAAAATGAGCTTTTCTTACAGTTTTATATGTGGCGTACACAAAAACACGAACACATCCATGACAATGAGTTTTTTTTTTTTTACTTTCTAGGCTAGAATTTTGCACCGCCGTGGTGTCGTCATTTCAGACGGCGCCATCACCGTTTGATAGTGTTGGACGTTGCGTATCTTTCTCTGCTTTCTACTGTTGCATCCAATACACATACCAACACGTCTTTGGCCCATTCGTACAAGTAGCGGGAGCAAGCGAGTTCGTGTGCTCTACCGCCGCTCTCATGAAGGCTACTCCTACTACTACTACTTCAGAGTACAGACAAGCTAGATTGGTAATACTAATAATTGAGAGTTAATTGCACAGAAGTATCACAATTCAGGCATCACATGCAGATTGATACCACGATTGCTAATTTTTGCGTGTCAGTACCAACATTGCTTAAGATTTTTACAAATAGGTCTAAACTGCGTATAAACACGTATTGACGGTGTATCTGACCAGCGGGGCCCGCCCGTCAGGTGCCAACGTGGCATGTTTTTTGCAAAAAACCCCCTTACGTTGTATGTAATCACAAAAATACCCAAATTTTTTGCGGGAAAAAGGCTCCATGAGAGAGGCTTTCTTTTTTTTCGTAATTTCCATCAACGAATCTGGACTGGTTTGAAATTTTCCGTCACTTGAAGAAATAAAGAAACGAAAAGAAAAATCTGGCGACGGCGGGAATCGATCCCGCGACCTGCGGCCCTCAGGCGCCACGTGCTAACCACCACGCCACAGCGGTGCTCGCGGTCGATACAAGGCGTCCGCCTTTTTATACTATTACCGAAGCGCTGGGCCGGCCCACCGAGGCCTGCATTTTTTTTTCCGTTTCGCACTTAAAGGAGCGCAAAAGCCATATGGGCACATGCTTTTCTTTTGTTGTTTGAAAAAAGGGGGATTGGTTGGCAGTTGGCACGCACTGAGCTGAACAAAGCTGGCTGTTGAATACATGAAATTATATGGCAAAGACCACTACTCGTCCTCGCTTTTGATTGTCCTCAAGATCCAACCTCGTTTTTGACATAAGTAAACACACCCATTACGTACTTTCATACAGAGGGTTATCTATGTAAGTATGCAAGTAAGTTAAGCTCAGCCCATGCATGCTTTTACCGACATATCAGGGTTCATCTAGCTACTCTTGATGTGAAGGATAGATGGCTAGGAGATACGACTCCGAGTGGGAGGAAGTGAAGCTTATCAATGGCTACGCCATGCTTATGGCGTACGTGTCGTTCGCCTGCAGAGGCATAGGCTACCTGGTGTTCACATGGACCACGGTGGTTCTTCTCGGCGGATTCGTCTCCAACATCGACAAGGACGATTTCTGGCGTCTCACATTGATTACCCTTGTGCAGATTCTCTGGTTAGTATAAATCTTCTTACCTCACGCATCTCTAATAATAAGAGTGGCTTAATTAAGTACAAGGGGCTGTTTTTGGGAGAGCTAAGCTAGCTGGTCGAGAATGATGGTTGATCCACGCCGCCTCAACTAGCTGGTCTGGCCGAGAGCGATGGCTGGTCAACGTGGTCTCGACCACATTAGAATTAGTGTTGAAGCAAATTTGGGCGGAGCCAATTAGGTACCTGGGTCTGGGTATACTTCTCCACACCCATTATTTGTGCCAAAAACAACAACAAGTTAGGTATACACAATTCTATCCAGTACATTGTGGCTATAAAGGATTGGAAATGTAGTTTCATTTAGCCCAGCCAACCTTCTCATTTCCCTCAAAAGCCCATTATCTAAGCAGAAAGCCCATGCGATGACAGCTACAATTTCCCAATAGATGGGAATTACAGTTTGTGTGCCCTTTGTGCCAAAGCTTGACATGTGGTATTTTTTTTTCTATACACCCGAATTCGGAATCCTGGCTCCGCCAGCAGATATAAAAAATATCCAGGGATGATTTCAAACCAAAGTCCATCTAATTTGGATTATAGAGTCTGAAGAAAATTTCAATTTTATTTGGTTGAGATTCAGGGTGGACGAAACGGTCCGGTCCCGCGGTCCGGCTCGTGGCCCGC